ACCTCTCTGCTTCATTGATGCATTTTGACAAACAAATTGGTAACAATATGAAACACAGCAACGAACATGCTGCACGCTTGCTATTATCCCATTGAGGCATTCCTACAAACACTTGGGCACCAATGATGCTTCAAACATGATGCAGGCACGGGAGAAGAATTAAGTGGGGGAGAAGAATGGCAGGAGAGCTCGGAACAGGTCTTGGGTCTGGTCATCAAGTTTTTAAGAGAGAATATCGCCAGATTGATTTTTTTTAGGGGGACGGCAGTTAATTAACATGGTGTTTATAACTAATTAGCTACAAAAGGTTAGTTTAGTCAGTATAGTGGGTCAGTTTTCAGCGAAGGGCGGGCATGCTGAAATAAAAACTAGGGACTTGGGGGTACCTTTGGAAATAAGAAAAGATTTGAGGAGTAAATATAGAAGCAACCCTTGTTTTAGGAAGACATGGTAGATTCAGGGGTGTAGATTGAAAATTATGTAGTTTCATTTGAAACTAACTTAAAAGTTTGGATGATTTATATATGATTAACAAAGATTGGATTGTGGGTCTAGCGTGAAAAATACGGATCTACAAGAATGAGGTGAGTGATTAACTGAGTATGATCAAAGACTTTTTCCATAGGTTGAGGAGAATAAACTTACTGTTCTTTGGCACCTTCTTTTGCTTTTGGATTTTGTCTTTACCCATCGTTTCCTTCTCTTTTGCTCTCCGATTGTATTTTCGATGGAGTTCTCAGCCCTTCTAAAAAGCTAAATGTGATTCTCTGAGCTCTTGGGTGTTTGGCTTTTATTTCTCACGCTAGACCCACAATCCAATCTTTGTTAATCATATATAAATCATCCAAACTTTTAAGTTAGTTTCAAATTAAACTACATCATTTTCAATCCACACCCCTGAATCTACCATGTCTTCCTAAAACAAGGGTTGCTTCTATATTTACCCCTTAAATCTTTTCTTATTTCCAAAGGTACCCCCAAGTCCCCAGTTTTTATTTCAGCATGCCCGCCCTTCATTTCAGTCATCCCTCCCACCTCTCACATCGATTTAGGATGTGATGTTTATCTTAGTACAACATGTATGTATCATTTTCAATAAAGAGTTTAAAATAGGAAATAAATAAATTAGATATAATTTTATAAATATGAATACAAAGTTAATATAGTTTAGAAATGGAAAAATAAAGAAAATATCGAAAAAAAACATTGATCGACCCACGACCCATGGATCGTGACCGGGTCCGGCCCGACCCGGCCCGCTCTTAAGCGAATCGTGGGCCAAATTGAGTCCAATCCCAGACCTGGAATCCTAGAAGCAGGCTCAACTCATTCTGACCCGGACCTGACCCTGAATCCTGCGAGCCCAAATTGCCCAATCATAAGCCTGAACCGGCTCGGCCCACGCTGCCCATAAATAGGTCTTGTTTGGCAACCAAAAAGTAAGTGGAAGACAGATCACATATTGGAAAGTGACTTCACTTTCTGTTTTTATTTTTCTCCATTTGGCACTTCAAAAGTGGCCGGAAAATAGATGGAAAGTGAAGGGTGCCATGTCAGCTTTTTAGCCGATTTTACTTGATATAAAAAATATATAAAAAGTTAATGGTCATATGTTATACTTAATAATTTAGATATTTTATAAATACTAACAATTCATAGTAACTTTAATACTTACAATCATCAAACTTTCAAAACATAACATAACAATTATCAAATATGGAAATATAGTATCACGATTTCTTAACAAAAATTAGTCATATATGAGCAACAATCATTCAAAAAAGCATCATCAAATGATCAAATATGCCAGCACCATCAAGTTTAAAGCAATAAAAACAAGTCTAAACAAAACCAAATACTTCCAACTCTGGAGTTCTTAACTTAACAAAATATATTCTAATTCCTAATCAGGTCCACAACATAAACCAAACTAAACATGATTATGTAACGATAAGATTTTTTGCATATAGTGATTGCAAAGTGCAAACCTAATTTCAAAAAAATCAACTATTAACTGAAAACTAAAAACTAAGGTTAATCAATATCAAGTAATAACTAAAAGTAATTATCTCACCTACACAACTAACCCATAAATTAATCTCTCTACTCTAATTCGATGGCAGATCTTTAAAAATGAAGTTGAAGGGTAAAGTAACATAGCGACAAGTTTGATGTGATTTTTAGAGTAATACATAACTGAAGCTAATCAAAAGCCAAGCTTAACCATCTAATAAATAATTTCGAATCAATTACCATCTAATAAGATCGATCAAATCGAGCTTCATGATGGTGGGGTAGGGGCCGTGGAGGCTACCTCTCTTAGCGAATTCCTCGAACGAAACCGAGCTCGTTGATCTAGATTCTAGTAATAACTCGCTTCAGCTCGATCGATTGGCAGAGATCAGATCAAACAGCCGAGGAAAAAACGGAGGATGAGAAAGGAGAACGAAATCAACGAGACGCTTACCTTACCAGATCATCATCCCGAGAATTCTCATAATAATAACGGTGATGGTTAAATAATTTTTAAAATAAAAATAAATTTCAACAGAGGAAGAAGACAGATCAGAGTTTCCTCCATATCCACCGCTTCTGTAGTCAGGTATTCCGTATTGACTTCCTACATAACTATATTCACTTCGAAATGCATTGATTGAACATTTGTGGGAAAGACATGGAAATGAAGCGATGTAAATTTTTTTACTAATGAAATAATGACTTTTTCTTTTTTATTTACTTGGTTATTGAAATTTTATATTTCAATTAATATTATTCAATATTGGTCTCATTTTAAAGATATCGACAAAACATTTCCAACTGTAAAACTTTTATTTAAAAATAATTAGTAGAAATAAACTTATGTTGATTTTAAATTGAATATCTAAAAATAATTAGTTAGTTAGAAGGATAATATTGTTATTTTTTAGGGGGGGATAGTGAAATAGAGGGGGCTGCATATTTGGAGCAAAAACTCCAAATATGCAGCCGAGTGGGAATTTTTGCAGCCAAGCTCCAAAATTTGGAGTTCGGTTGGATGCCAACCGGGCTGCATTTTGGAGAAATGCAGCCCGGTTGGAGCTGCTCTAAAGATTGGATCTTTGATTGATGCTTTGTTTTTTTGTTTTTTATTTTTTGTTCCCCCTCCGTGGATGTGGGGCCCAGGTGGGAAATCTACTATTTGTTGGCAAAA